AAAAAATTATAAATACCAGCTTGATGATCAATAAATTGCTTCAGGAAAGCATTTAAATCTCACTTTCATTTAAACCTAAGCAGCTTAATGATATAAATTAACAGCCTTAAGCTAAAACTTTCAGTTCTATATAATCAATGAACAGGGTCTAACAAATGAATCTCAGATTGGCATTTTCAATAATCAAAATTTAACAATTTTAATGTTTCATCACATCACTAAGGCAATTGACTTATTAACAAGTGAACAAAATATTAAAATTTAGGTCATGGTGATCTTCTCAACATTGTTTCTATAAATAAAACAAAGCAGAAGTACTGCTACAACTATCAAAGGAACAACTGGAATCAAGTTTATTGAAGGATTAAATGTTTTTCAAGGCTGTGTTGTCTAACCATCTCTTGCACATTGTTTTGTGTCAAACAAAAACAGTTTTCAAAGGCTGTTTGAACAATTATACAAAATTCAAACACCAAGTATTTGGATTTCCTAAAAAGTTATGACAAAATAAATCCCAAAAAATGTTTAATCATTGAGTAAACACAATTCCTTTACCAGTTACGACATTACTTACCGACATTACTTACCATTTGTACCATTCTTTTTTTGGGTAATCCAGAACCGTCACAAATATAATCCAACTTACAGCAATTAAAGTATTTTTGCAACCAATTTCATATTTACTACATACAATTATCTTATACGAGGAAGAAATAATTGGATTTTAATTACACCAAAGGCCACTTCAAATACCGTAAGCCAATCTAAGCTAAATTGTATGCCGTTGCAGGAATTTGGAGAGGAAAACTTTCAAATTTTTTAAACTACAGATAATTGCCGATTCACTATAATTAAACCGTAGTCCATTCATCATTTATTTTAGTTTAATCACCGTCATCATTACATATAAAAGAAACTCGAAAGGATATAGAATACCGACACAGTACAGAGCATATTAAAAATTACAAAACTGACCTATTTAACTCGCAAAATAAAACATGCGATAAACTAAAACATAAACATTAACGATTAACTGATATTTTATCAATAAGATTACATTATTTTTCAACCAAAATTCATAATTAATTTCGAATCAACGCAATTTTCAGCATTTTATCATAAAACACGAGTAATTATGAATATTTTATGAATATTTCTACTATTATGTAATTAATTTTCGAGTTTCAATGTAAATTAACATAAATACGGTAAAACCTGTGTAAGTGGGAATCTCATTATCGAATATTTTACCGGATTTCATAAGTTTTAAATGTAATTTAACATAAATACGGTAAAACCTGTATAATCCGGACCGCACCGGCTTACACAGGTTTTTCTTATTAACGCAGAAAATCGGCCCGTTCGAATGAATTTTCCCGTTTAGTCGGATTCCGTTTTGCACAGGTTTTAGCGTATATAACGATTAAAGACACGTTTAAATGGACTTACCAATACAAAAATCTTAATGATGGACCCGCGAAATTCTGTCTAAATTTTGTTGTTGGTATTTCTTTATTTTGAATGGTCTGATCACTTTTATGGAAAAAATCTTTCGCGCTCAACGCTAAAAACAAGCAAAATAGACTTGCATAGATTAACTTAGACATATTTTCGGCCATTTTATCGAAATCATTCGTATACTAATCGTCACTACTTCCTCTTCGATTTCATCATAAAACTAATGTTGAAATTTGTTTCGGATTAAGTGTTGCCAACTCCAATATTCAATTCATTATCGATAAAAGAAATTAAAAATTGATTTTAATTTTATATTTTATTTTATTAAATAAATTGTATTATTTTTAATTATGATAATTGCCAATTAATATAAAAATGATGTCGATTAATTTTTTAACCATTCGATTTTCTGTATATACATTCTATCTTCTTGATTAGAATAAAAATGGAGTCTATTCATTTGTATTAGTATATGAAACACGGAAATAGTTCCGTGTTTCATAGTTGAAATAGAAGTAAAACATAATATATTGTGTAGACGGATATGTCATGACCCGTTCCTCGTCATTCGGACACCTCATTGTGAGTCGGGCCGAACCTATAATGGGCTTGCTAAAAGAGCCCTCTTAGTGCCCACAGGGCGGAAAGAGTGGGAAAAAAAAAGTGGAGCAAAATTAGCATAACATTACGAGAATTGATAACGACAAGAATTTCTCGGAAGTTAATATCACAACTTTAGCATTAGTCCTCCGCTCTTGGAAACCCGAGTTCGAATCCTAAGTCAGGCACCTCAGAAATTTTTCAGTGTCCCGTAAATATCGGATCCCATCCTTTATCATCATCATTAATGTCTGGCTGAATGGACACGGAAAGGATTCTTTTAGTGCCATAGGAAGTAGTTTTTAAAAAGTGTGATCGCATACTTTTTTCTTTAAGTATTCTGAGTTCCGTTTTTTGAATTTTCCAAATTCTCCAATTTATTATTTCTTTTTTTGACATTTCTAGACAATGTTACAATATATATATATATATATACATACAATCAGTCATGGAGGTCCGCAGAGGATGTGGTTAAACGGGACATTTGTCTGTCATTGGAACCGAGTAAGAATTTCCACAAATTATAATCGTGAAAGTGATTGAGATATGTAACTTTATATACTTTTGTCATTCAATCCTACTGATGTTTAGATCTAACATTAAGCAGGCAAACACGAACAGTAACAAAAAGGAACTTTATTAGAAAAGGTTAGAACTGTCACAGACATCCTCGGGCAACACCCGGACAAAATCCAACGAACTTTCGCGCCTTTTCTTTTTTTGACGTTGCCAGCCACTCTTGTTGGCAAGTGTTGCCAGTCAGAGTTCGTGATCTTGGCAAGTGTTGCCAGTCAGTGTTCAGGATCTCTGGCGCTGGCGGCCACATACTCAACCATGGGACGTTTTGATGCAATACTGTATTCTGTAATTTACTTGTGAAAAAAACTCAAAATTAAATAATTAAATAAAAATTTATTGATATATAGTAATTATTTGTCACTAAGCTTTGTCTTCTGTAAAATTTTCTGCGGATGCTCATTCAACCAGAAAAACCAAAAGCACCATCAATAGTGACATTCTTTGAGATAAATTTTTTTTTTGTGTGTGTGTTATTAATTACAATTTTCATCCATGTCATCACAAATGATCCCTATTTCTTTACGGGAAATCATTCTTATAAGTAATTTTATGCAAATCTGAAAACTTAAGGCTCACCAGTGGCCAAGCGGTCTTCCGTACCTTGAACACTGGGAGTTCGGTCGTGGATTCGCGCCTTGCTCGGACGAACTGGTCACGTGGAGTTTTTCGGGTTTTCTCCACGTTCGTAACGCCTAAATAGGGGCCAGGTTCCCTTAAAAGACTTCCCGGAAGGCACTCCCCTAGGCAGCTCGCCCAAGTGTCGCGTTGCCATAACTTAACAAACAACAACTGAAGACTAATGTTAGCAATCAAGTGACAAAGTGGCATTTGAAAGGATGGCAAAATGGGCCGTCAAAAATGTTCAAAAGGAGGGGGAAATCGGTGTCCGGAAAAAAATTAACTTAAAATATCTCAGGCTCTTGCTGATAACCAATAATTTTTAACTATGCTGCACGTGCTCTAATTTGAAATCCATAGGACACTCTACAATCTTTTTCTACATTCGATTTTCTGTTTCTTTCAAATGGTAACGAAAGAAGATTATTTACGCCTAAGATTGTACAGCGTTTACACGTTAAATAAAACATTACAAAAAAGTTTATCGTAAACCATTTTGCAAATGAAGGAGTTTCCAAAACGGACTACGTATTGCATTCTTTAACGTTTCGAAAGTGGATTACGACCACAAATAAAAAGGGGGTCCAAAAGAAATGCGAAAATTCTAATGAATGTCAAGTTGAGAGGATCTAAGAGGACCTTTGAAGATAGCAATAAGATTTCATTTTGGTCTGTAGCCCCGAAACTGGAAATTTCAAATAGTTTTCCACGAGGTTTTGAAAACAAAACACATATTAAACGCCGAAAAAAGCAGGTAATTCCGGACAAAACGGACAAGCAAAGATCACCATCAGAGACGAAGTACTGTAAGGAAGGTTTTTGCGAAAGTTCTCTGAAAAATATTTCATTTTGGCTGATGAATCTTACTTCGCCCTCTCGCACTCTACGATCAATAGTAATGGTGGATATTATACCAGTAATATCTACTCTACATCCGCCGATGTAAAGTTATTCAAGAAAAATAAACTTCGAGGACAAAATTTTCGGTTTGGACCGAAAAGATTGAGTCGAGCCCTGATCGGAAAATCAAGTTTTGTTGTCAATTAATTGTTTTTACTAGTAACATGCAGAAATGCCGGCTTTGCCAAGCCAAAAAGTAAGAAGGTTAAAATGAAAACCACATTACAAGTTTGCTTATTTTAGCCTATTGTTGTTAAGTTATAACTAAATATTATGATCAAGGGGAAGAGTGAGTATTCACGTTTCACAGAAGTCATTTTCCTCAAAGTCCTATGGAATAATTAAGAAAAACGTGGTCCAATCGGGCAAAGAACTCGAGTTATTAATTAAGAAGGATGAAATCGGAGATGTGATGGACTCCCTAGGTGCAATTTTGTTATAAGGTCCTTTATGTGTGTGTATTGTGTTTTTTTATATGTCAATTTATGAGTTTATCATAAAGCCACTTATTCTTGCGGAGGTACAAAATGTATACATTTTAAACATTCACTGAAGTTTTAAGCGCATATTATATTCTTTTTTATGAAATTTGAGGCCTCAATAGGCGCCTAGTGTGACTATTGATTTGGTGCAATCAGGCAAAAAACGTAGAACAGAAACATAAACCGACGAGTAGCCATTATGTTCACGTATTGGGTGCAGAAACGATGCAACTTCCGACTGCGTCACTGATCCGAATAATACAAACGTGGTTTTGTTCAAATCCACGAATTAAAAGTCGCGTACGTAACCCCATTCGATGGGTGCAAGTCCACGAGTCCAAAGCCTCTTACTGGAAATTTAAGCTTCCTACTTTCGTCGCTAGATGGCACGGTGCAGGTAGCGGGTAGAGAAATCTCACGCTTTGGATGTTGACGAGCGTGGAGATATTTGGAATGTGTTTAAAATGTGTTCGTACGCTTTGCATTATTTATATTTATGTTGTCTCTTAATGAATTATTTATATTTTACCGTTCGGAGTTACGAACAGAACTGCTCTGTCATAAAGTATATATACGATCCTAAGGATCTTCCCAGCCAAGATATACCTGAGAAACCAATTCCAGGTAACCTTTATTTACAATTTTCTTTTTCTTTTGCCGAATGACAATGATGCGTGCAAGCAAGAAATGCGAATAAATATAAAAGAAAAATATCTCGAATTTTTAAAAAAAATCATTAATTATGTATGAATTTAGTTTGACATAAATCATTTACGGCATTAAAGATAATTTTACTGTGCCGATTCGTTTTAATTCGGCTAAAGTTATGGTAAAATTGCAGTTCTGAATGAGAAGTTTGGGTAATATGTGAACTCCAAATGGGAAGTTTTCCACCCCCAAAATTGTAGACCGCCCTTACGAGCAAAATATCAAAGGAACTGTACCTGTACGTTTGACCTCTTGCTGGATGTTCGCCTCCAAAAGTTGCGTACCGGTCTACTCCCTATTCTCTGTGTTCTTGCTATTCTTCGTTCTCTGGGTTTGCCGTTGCTCACGCCCCGACACTCACACCTCCTAAACCATATAATGTCAAGTACTCCATGAACGGTCGAGTAGGCTAATTGAAGCCGGTACGGCTTCAATTAGCCTACTCGACCGTTCATGGAGTACTTGACATTATATGGTTTAGGAGGTGTGAGTGTCGGGGCGTGAGCAACGGCAAACCCAGAGAACGAAGAATAGCAAGAACACAGAGAATAGGGAGTAGACCGGTACGCAACTTTTGGAGGCGAACATCCAGCAAGAGGTCAAACGTACAGGTACAGTTCCTTTGATATTTTGCTCGTACAGGCGGTCTACAATTTTGGGGGTGGAAAACTCCCCATTTGGAGTTCACATATTACCCAAACTTCTCATTCAGAACTGCAATTTTACCATAACTTTAGCCGAATTAAAACGAATCGGCACAGTAAAATTATTTTTAATGCCGTAAATGATTTATGTCAAACTAAATTCATACATAATTAATGATTTTTTTTAAAAATTCGAGATATTTTTCTTTTATATTTATTCGCATTTCTTGCTTGCACGCATCATTGTCATTCGGCAAAAGAAAAAGAAAATTGTAAATAAAGGTTACCTGGAATTGGTTTCTCAGGTATATCTTGGCTGGGAAGATCCTTAGGATCGTATATATACTTTATGACAGAGCAGTTCTGTTCGTAACTCCGAACGGTAAAATATAAATAATTCATTAAGAGACAACATAAATATAAATAATGCAAAGCGTACGAACACATTTTAAACACATTCCAAATATCTCCACGCTCGTCAACATCCAAAGCGTGAGATTTCTCTACCCGCTACCTGCACCGTGCCATCTAGCGACGAAAGTAGGAAGCTTAAATTTCCAGTAAGAGGCTTTGGACTCGTGGACTTGCACCCATCGAATGGGGTTACGTACGCGACTTTTAACTCGTGGATTTGAACAAAACCACGTTTGTATTATTCGGATCAGTGACGCAGTCGGAAGTTGCATCGTTTCTGCACCCAATACGTGAACATAATGGCTACTCGTCGGTTTATGTTTCTGTTCTACGTTTTTTGCCTGATTGCACCAAATCAATAGTCACACTAGGCGCCTATTGAGGCCTCAAATTTCATAAAAAAGAATATAATATGCGCTTAAAACTTCAGTGAATGTTTAAAATGTATACATTTTGTACCTCCGCAAGAATAAGTGGCTTTATGATAAACTCATAAATTGACATATAAAAAAACACAATACACACACATAAAGGACCTTATAACAAAATTGCACCTAGGGAGTCCATCACATCTCCGATTTCATCCTTCTTAATTAATAACTCGAGTTCTTTGCCCGATTGGACCACGTTTTTCTTAATTATTCCATAGGACTTTGAGGAAAATGACTTCTGTGAAACGTGAATACTCACTCTTCCCCTTGATCATAATATTTAGTTATAACTTAACAACAATAGGCTAAAATAAGCAAACTTGTAATGTGGTTTTCATTTTAACCTTCTTACTTTTTGGCTTGGCAAAGCCGGCATTTCTGCATGTTACTAGTAAAAACAATTAATTGACAACAAAANAAAAAATGTACATAGAAGTATTAAGAAATACAATTACTAACACATCCAATAAAATTACTATTTTCACTCTGGTTAGAGCTTTTATTAAATTTCTTAACTATAAACTTCCATGCAGAGGGAAGACTTTCTGTGTCCCTCACATTTAAACAGCCTTCCTGTATTTTACTCCTATACTTTATCTTCCCCATCTTTGGTGTTAACAGCTGAAAAGTTGCAGATTTATAGGAGTAAAATACAGGAAGGCTGTTTAAATGCGAGGGATGCAGAAAGTCTTCCCTCTGCATGGAAGTTTATAGTTAAGAAATTTAATAAAAGCTCTAATCAGAGTGAAAAAAGTAATTTTATTGGATGTGTTAGTAATTGTATTTCTTAATACTTCTATGTACATTTTTTCACATTTTTATATTTTTATGCTACTCTGTTGGTTATTTAATGTTTAATTTTTATTTTTATCTTATTCCGTTGCTTATTTAATTTTGAATTTTGTATTCCATTAATGGAATCCTTTAATTCAAATTTGGTTCTCAACCTGAAGATGGCCTGTGAATCAGGCTGAAAACGTTTGTTTGAAATTAAATTATACTCGGCAAGGATAAGGTGTTAGTTATATGCTAAATTTATTATCTACACATTGAAAGTTAAAATATTAATTAGTGTTTAAGTATATCCTGTTATTGTATTCATTAAAAATTTATTGTGATGATTTAGGTAGAAATGTGGCTATGTAAAGATGATGATGACCTATTTGTCCTACAAGTTGTGCTTATATAAACAAAAGAATTACGATCTAGATGAATGTGCTTAGCTTCGTCATTGGTTTATGGCAGCGGTTCCTAATGTGTGTGCTGTGGCGCACACTTTGAGAACTAGGGCGCATGCAGTTTCCTCACAGGGGCACCACAAAATGTTATAAAATTTTTATAATGTTAGAATTTAATGTACTTGTTAGAATTTAACAATTAGGACACCTTGGAAAAATCTGAATTTTCAAGGACAACAAAAATAAAAAACGTTTGGGAACCAGTGGTTTACGGTAAAATGGATAAGTGCCACAGATAATAAAGGAGTAAAACCAACAAAGCTACATTTTCTAACCATCTATATTTAAATGTCTAAAGAAAAATACTAAAAATTTGTTAGTTATTGGGATAACTTTACTACAGAAAGATATGGTATATTGTTGGTAATAAAACATAGTATAAAAAAATCTCATTGACATGTTTCTTTGTTGTTATGCATAAATAGTATTATCTTATCCTCTAAAAAAATTATATCATTCAACTGTTTGAGAATCTAATAGCATAGGGTCCTGTTGTTTGTTGCTTAACTGCTAGATTTTGTTGCAAAAGAATTTGTTCTGATTTTGCTACTTTAACTCCTTTATAATTTACTTTACTGCCAATCAATGTGCTGTGTGAAGAAGCTTTAGGGGCAGATTTATGAAATAATTTTTTGTCAGTTAGATTAATATATTATAACTTTCTGAATTGAGAAAAAAATTAATTTCTTTAGAAAAATAATTAATATACTTATAAATAAAACTTTTGATATCAAATAGTCTTTAATTTTTAATGTTAAGGAAATAAATGCAACTTATGTGAATCACTCTGTCAACACACTGAAACAACATCTTTTTGAGAAAACACTTTTATTTTTCATAAAACAAGTCATAATCAAATCTGATATTTTTACACATTAAATTTTTAAGTTTTTTAATTTTAAACTCAGAAAATAATTTAATCAGGTAAGAAAGTAAAGGAAAGAAAGTGTAATGGATATAAGAAAAGTATTTAATCATAAAACATAAACAATAATGTGAAATGAAAGATGGTTAAAGATCTTAAGCAAGAAGGAAAAAAGAAAAAATAGTTTCAAGAATATCATCCTTTTTAATAAAATATACTGCCTTGGAGATATTTGAATTACTTAAGTATTTACTAAGAAACAACAGAGCTTATATTTCTTGAAGTCTGAGACACTAAGCCCTTGCAAGTTCCATTTGAAGACACAAATCCAAAAATAACTTGTATATAATTTTTTCTGATAATTATATTTTTACTGACATGTTTAAATACAAATGTTTTAATACGAGGGCTATTTTTTAAATAAGGTCCGTTTGTGAATGAGAGTGAGAATGACGCACGATTGCAGCAGTGTGCATGAGCATCTGCTTTTAGCATGCTTTGCACATGTTTAGATGCTATTTGCAGCCATATTGTCTGTCTGTGTGCTGAGCTGTAGAAGTTTATAATGTTTAAGAAAATTGAGTCGCCTGCTGACTGTAAGATGCGATCTGTTATTCGATTTCAGCATGAAAGATCATGGTAACTGTCATTTGGGACAGGAAAGGGACTTTGTTAGTGGATTTTATGCCAAGAGTCACAACAATCAATTCCGACACTTATTGTGACCTTGAGAAAACTGATGTGCCATACATGACAAGTGGCATGGCCTAATGTCTTCCGGCGGCAGGCGGTAGATTTCTTTGAAGTCGGAATTTAAAAAATTTTTTGAGCTTTATGACAAATGTTTGAACAAAAATGGAAATTATGTATAAAAGTAGATAAAAGTATGTAGAATATGGGAAAAAATACATTTCAACGATATTTACAGTATTTTTCTTCTTATCAAAAAACGGACCTTACTTAAAAAATACCCTTTGTACTTTGAAATATAAAGAATAATACTGAACTAAACTTAATACAATAAGACACTTTATTTCTCCAACAGTGGTTTTATTTTTGGATGTCTTAAACATCCATCTTCAGATAAAAATGGTTATTGAATACAGTTTAAATGTAATTAAAAACAAAGGTTCTAAATTAATTCTATTTAAATGTATATTTAAAGATATTAAATGTAATTACATTTAAACATATAGATTGTACGGTACATTCGATTGGTGTAAATTCATTTTACTGTATGTTATACTGCACTACAAGAAATTCAAGGATACGACAACTAGACTCGGTTTGATCTTGATTGATAAAACACAAAACATTTAATTCT